CTCTAATGACGATGAGAAAAGCGTGTGGGCCTGGAGAGGATAATGTTACACATTTCACTATTTCAGTTTTAAACTCATCCTCATTGAGTTCAGTATCATAAAGTCCAGGTGTGTCGATCACGGAGATCTCTTTATTTAACCTCACTGTAGTTTCTGACTGACTCTGTTTCGTCTGAGACTTTGAACCGGCTGAAGATTCGAACACGTTTCTGCCGATGATGGTGTTTCCAGTGGCGCTTTTTCCAGCTCCAGTTTTTCCCAGCAGAACCAGTCTGAGATCTTTCTTCTTAGGAATCTCATCTGGATCTCCAGACTTTGCTGAAACTATATATATTCAATAAAATCAGTAACAAAACACACACCAGGGATGCCTAACAAACTAGTGATGTACATAGTATTTAACCCCTTAGCTGTCACCCCCCTTTTTGAGAATGGGGGTTAAAATGCACTATTCAAACTTAAATGGTTGTAATTTAAGAATGCTTTGGAATATATACCCAAGTTTGGTCTCAGCAGAATATTGCTGAAGTGAAAACACTTCAAAAAATGAAAGTATAAAAAAAAGTTAGGGAAGTTTGCTTTTGGCTTGCTTTGAGCTTGCTCAGTTGGGGTTATTTAGTGTTTAGCAATGTTGTTGATCTGTGTTGTGCTACCTTCATGTTATCACTGTGAAGCTGCTTTGATACAATCTGTATTGTGAAAAGCGCTATATAAAAAAAAAAAAAAAAAAAAAAAAAAAGTTTAAATTGACAGTAAATCAAATATACTGTACTATATATTTTTTATTTTATAAATATTTTTTACTCTAAAATTACTATAAAATCAAAGTAAAAAATCTTATCAAGTTATGTTCCAAATTTGAAGTTGATATCACAAAAATTGAAGTCCCCATGAGATTTTGTTTAGGCGTAGTACCAAAAATAGCCACCGGGTGCCATTGAATTCCATTGAATTTAGTTGTGTACATTCTGCCTTAACAAATTAATACATTTCTGTCCAAATATCAATTCGGTCACAAAATTTGGAACCTTGAGACTCAGACCTTTCTGACAATATGTGTTTTGTCAAGATTAGTAAAGGTTTTGATTATAAATTATGAAATATAATGATGCCCAAAAGGGGAGGAGCCTGATAAAATAAGTACCGTTCAATTATAAAACAGTTTTCACACGATGAATTCTGAGTTTATAAGCTTTCAAATGATACCTAATTTATGATAACTACTAAAACATGTGATATAATAAAAAAGGCGATAAGAAATAATATTATATTTTAGAGGATAATAAATATAAATATTATGATTTTTAGAGGATATATTATACTATATTTTTTTATTTTATTGAAAAATACTATATTATATGTTTTATTATGAACTTTTAGCAGAAGTTTCAATGATTAAAAGTGGGTTCATCGACTTTTTGTGACAAAGGTCAAAACTCCTGTTATGATGCAGATTTTTTGAGGTGCACTCTTGTCATAAATTCATTAATTACTCTTCCTACATAATTTGTAACACAAAACAGGGGTAAAATATCTATTTAGAAGTCTTAGACCTTTCCAACGATATATAATTTGTCATAATTACATTAGGATTTAATACAAATATAGTGAAGTAAAGTTAGGCTTTCGGTACTGGGACGGTGACAGCTAAGGGGTTAATAAAGTTGATAATAGTGGAAAATATAAAACTTACAATTAATAAGAAAACCTCTTTTACTGTCAGTCCTCTTCATTTGTTCCAAGGTCAATTTCCCTCCATTCTTCATCATCATTCCTTCAATCTTCAGCAGTAGTTCTTGTCTCTGACTCTCTGATTCTTTCTTGTTATTGAAACAGTGAAACCTTCCTCCACATTCAGTCACCAGTCGCTGGAGATCCGCATGATCTTCCAGATGTTCATCAATGGTCTGATCAAGATCTTCCAGCTCGTCTTGACGTGTGAACAGAATCATGATGTACTTCTGAACATCAGGACCAAATAAACCTTTAATATAATCCAGGATTTCTTCCTCATTTTGCACAGGTTGCTCTAGAGGAACGGTGAGCAGAACTGCACTGAGACCTGATGAACATCGAGAGACCAGCTGATCCTTCATCATCTCCATCTTCTCTTCACACAGATCTGGATCCAGTGGATCTGGAGAAATAAACACATGCACCTGCTTCTCTCCGATCTCTGTTTCACCCTCACAAATTTCAGACTCATGTTTCTTTACTTTAAACTTCTTTTCTCCCACTATAGTGTTTCCAGATGAGCTTGCCCCAGAACCAAATCTGCCCATCAGAAGAACCCGGATCACTGGATCATCTGGACTGGAGCTGATCTCTGACATCTCTGAAATAAAAGTATAGAACAAGATCAGAAATCGGTCAGGTCAAGTTATCATTCAACTCACTGCAGGTCGAGAGTAAGAAAAGTGCGAAACACACTTTCTAAAAAATTGAGTTTTTTTTTTTTTAAACTTCATTTTTTATTTTGGGTAACTCTTCTGCTGCGTGTCACCGGTGCAGGCCGGGGCGGACTCGGATGACCAGTCGCAACTCTGACCAAACACCACCGTGAGGAGCCGCACCACAGGTGCGCGACAGAAAGACAACCGAGGCGGGAGATAATTTCAAAGGAGTAACAATCTTTATTGAACACAATATAGCAATGAGAATACAACGTTAAAGGGATACTCCACCGGGTTTTCATATTAAACTATGTTATTCCCTTAATTAAGACGAGCTGATGCATACCTCTCTCGTCTCAGTGCGTGCACTCTATCGCTCTGTATTGCCGCAAAACTATGTTAGCACTTA